CTTAGAAGGGATGATGATGAGATTTTGTATGTCGTACGTGGGACATACAGTTAGGAAAGAGCAGTTTCTGGAGAAGAACATTATGCTTGGAAAAGTTGAGGGTCAGCGAAAAACAGGAAGATCCCCAATGAAATGGACTGACACAGTGGCAACAACAACAAAAAAAAATCAGCCATTATGAGAAATTTCACGGCACACAATTCTATTCTGACACATAGAGTATTACGTCAACTTGACTGTTGTTTCATTGGATTGTTAACAAATTGCCATTGCTATGAGTCAGAATTGACTGGCCTGACACAACAACTGTGTACCTAAAGCGTAACAAATATAAAGTTCTTGCAAATAAAGGAGTTAAATTTCAAAGTATTCAGGACAGCGTAAGCGGTGAGGAGTTGGAGCCACAGGGCTGGCAGCACGGAAAAAAACATGGAAGGCGTAGGTGGGCGGGACCGAAGGAAGCTGGCTAGGGGGAGGGGCCGCTCCAGGGCGGTCCGCAGATTTGGCGCCAAATTCCGAGACCTCTCCTCTCGGCGGGAATGGCAGAGTCTCGCGAGAGGCACGGGTTCCCGCCACGCCACGCACAAGCCTGTTCCTGTTTTCAGTTTGTGTGAGGTGAGCTCTTGCTGGGCGGTTAGTGAGGCTTTAGAAGCGGAGAGACGGCTCTGGGAGCCAGGCGTAGGAACGAAAGAGCTGTGGAATTGCAGAAGTGGGTAAGAAGGCTAGGCGATAGGATCTAGGCGGACGCGGCCTTTGCGGGAATGGGAGTTCTGAGCAGATCTGCTGTACCTGTGAGGAGCAAGGCGGGAGGGGTCGAGGCCGGGTAATATTACCAGTTTATGTTTCGAATCTAAAGCAAAACTAAACCCACTGACTCTTGACCCTGTAGGACAGGGTAGAACTGCTCCTTTGCGTTTCGGAGATTCTAGACCTTTACCAGAGCAGACAGACAGATTCATGTTTTCCCCGCGGAGCGACTGGTACGTTTGAACCGTCTATCGCAGAACTTCAGCAGTTCAGCGTTTAACCCGCGGCTCCACCACTAGCCGAACCTTTAAGAGGAAGGGGACGTGTTCCTGCGCCGTCGCTGCAGCCGGCGTCGCCCCGGACCCTGCGAATGTGGAAGAATGAGGCAGACGACAGCGAATTTGGAGTAGAAGAGGGAAGCGTTAGTACTTTTGGAGGTCCTAGCAAAGGGGGGTGTCGGGGTATCCTGGTAGGACTTCCGTTGGGACTTACAGAGTTGGACGTGAGTTAAGCTAATGGCGGTTTGGACACTCGTGTCTTTGTGCCCGTCACTCCTGTGGCAGTTTGAGGACCAGTTTGGTGCGGTGGAGTGATTTCGACTCAGCGACCCCATTGTTGTTGTTATGTGCCGTGGAGTCGGTTCCGACTCATAGCGACCCTGAACTGGGTTTCTGAGGCTGTAAATCTTTACGGGAGCAGAAAGCCTCATCTTTTTCTCCCATGGTACAGCTGGTAGTTCCGAACTGCTGACCTTGCGGTTCGCAGCCCAATTCATAACCTCTACGCGACCAGAGCTCCTTCAGCAACCCTCCCCCTCCCCAGGCGACAGAGCAAAACTACTCCACACTGGATTGATAACCTCACAGTCGCCGGTTCAAACCCGCCAGCCCTTCTTGGGAACGTTAGGCGTCGGAAACAGACTCGATGGCCCTTAACCACAATCTGGACGGGAGCACATTGCCAGGCCTGTCGCTCTCGGACCTGCTGGGTGGCTTCAAACTGTCAGTCTCTCAGGTGGTAGCCGAAGGCTTGACCACTGCGCCGCCAGGACCCCTTTAAGGACTATAGGTGGTGGTGGTAGTGTGCTGTGGCTGAAGCTGTCAATATTTACGGGAGTAAAAGGTCTATCTTTCTCCCGCGGAACCGTTGGTAGTTTCCATCTGATCAATGACTGAAATGACAGCGTATGCAGTCATTGTTAGTGTAAGAAACAGTTATTTTTTGTAATATTAACAGAAAAGGCAGTTTACTGACAGTCCCAATCCCATGCTTGGTCACTTTCTTAGTTGGGGCCCCAATAGTACTCCATACCTTTTGTACACCTTCATCAAAAACAAATATCCGTGAATGTCTCAAAGATCTGAACCCCACTTCTCCCTAGAGGGCGTAACAAGAATGGGGCTAAATATAAGCTTTGTAGATGGACATCTACTTTAAATTATTTGACCTCTGCCCTCCTAGTTTTGAAAATCCACAGGTGGTTCTTGTACTACTTGAAGATAACAGTGGGCAGTCATCAGGAGTTGATACTTTGTTCTTAAATACTTAACTGTCAAATTTGAGGAGCCCTTGTGGCACTGTAGGATAAGCACTGGACTGCTAACTAAAGGTCAGCAGTTCAAACCCACCAGCTGCTCCAAGGGAGAAAGATGAGGCTTTCTGCTCCTACATAGGGTCATTATTTGTTGGAATCAACTCACTGTCAGTGAGTGGGTCAGAAATTTAGAATTGAAGAGACTTTAGACATCATTTAGGTTCAGGGGTTTTACAGTTAGGAGGAACTTTTGGGATTCTTTCATTAATTCTATAAATTTAATTGAGTACCTGCTGTGTAGCAGTATTGGGGTTACAATGATGAGCACAGACAGACCTACCTGACCTTTGACCTTTCATAGCCACAGTCTAGTAACCTGGGACAAGCATCGAGTAATCACACAAATTGGACCTAATATTGGAACTGAGTAAGTGCAGTGATAAAGGAGAAAAAGGAGTATTTGATACTCTGGTGGTGTGCTGTGGAGTTGATTCCGACTCATAATGACCCAGTATGGGCTTTCTAAGGTTGTAAATCTTTATGGGAGCAGAAAGCCTCATCTTTCTCCTGTGGAATGGCTGGCTGGTAGTTTCGAACTGCTGAACTTGAGGTTAGCAGCCCAACTCGTAACCCCTACGCTACCAGAGCTTTTTGTTGTTAAGTACCCTCAAGTCGTTTCCAACTCAAAGAGAGTGACCCTGCATAGGGTTTCCACGGCTTTAAATCCTCAAGGAGGCAGAAAGCCTCACAGTTCTCCTGAGGAATGGGTGTTGGGTTTGAATGGTGGATCTTATGGTTCCCAGTCCATTGCATAGCAGATGGAGCCATTGTACTCCCCAGTGAGTATTATGTTGTTTATTGCCATGAGTCTGTTACACTTTATTTGTTAATGTTCCGTGGTGTCAGTTCTGATTCATAGCCACCCTGTATAGAGTTTCCAAGGAGCAGCTAGTTGGTGGAACCTTGTGGTTTACAGACCAATGCTGATCCTACAGTACGCAACATCAGGAGCCCATGAGTATTATATTGTTGTTAAGTGCTAAAGAAAAAAGATGGAGAGTGGTGAGAACTGAGGTGAGAGAGATTGGAAGGAAGCCTCTATGAAATATTTAAACCATGCCGTAATGTGATTAGATTTACGTCTCTAAACGTCTAGTTGTAGTATTGGAGTCCTGGTGTGGTGCTGTATGATAGGCACTGAAGTGCTGCAAGGTCTATGGTTCAAACTTACCAGTCTCTCCTCAGAAACCCTATAAGGGTCTCTGAGTTAGAATCAACTTCACGGTGCTATATAGGAAGTATAATGGACTGTATATGTGGGATGTAGAGAAGAAAGCATCAAGAACCACTTGCATGTTCTTGATGCTTAGATGTTCTTTATGGTTAGATGTTCACTGAGTTGAGAAAATGTCAAAAGTTGAGTTTTGTCCATGAGTTACACTGAGGGGTTCTCAAGTGGGAAGTTGAAGGCTTAAGTTGGAGATCAACGTTGCTGTTGAGTCGGTTCTGACCCATAGCGACTCTGTATAGGGTTTCTGAGGAGTAGCTAGTGAACTTGAACTGCCGACTTTGCAGTCCAGCGCATTAACCCACAGTGTTACACCAGGACCTGGAGTTGAGTGTGATTCATAGCGACTCTGTATAGGGTTTCTGAGGAGTAGCTAGTGAACTTGAACTGCCGACTTTGCAGTCCAGCGCATTAACCCACAGTGTTACACCAGGACCTGGAGTTGAGTGTGATTCATAGCGACTCTGTATAGGGTTTCCGAGGAGCAGCTGGTAGGTTTGAACTACAGACCTTGTAATTCACAGTCCAGGGCTAATCCTGCAGCACCAAAATAGGAGTCTTAACATTAATCATCTATAAATAATACATACTTATTAACACCATGTGCATATGTGAATGAAGAGGGCCCAGAACGTAGTCTTTAATTGTCAAGTTAGAAAAAGTCGAGCCTGCAAAGAAGACTTACGAAGAGTGTCCAGAAAGGGAGGAAAATCAGGTGAATATTGTATTTAGAAATCAAGGAAAACATTTTTCAAGAAAAAGGAACTGATGAGAATTGTCAGCTGTTGCTAAGAGGTCAAGTAAGATGATACCAACATTTTCATCAAAGAAAATCTTTACCTAGAAGATACCCGCTTCTTACCTAGAAGATTCAACAACAACCACAGCTGTTTGCTTACCTCAAGGTTCAAACTCACCAGCCACTCCTCGGAAATCTTATACAGGGTTGCTATGAGTCAGAACCAATTCAATGGCACTTAACAACAGCAATCTTCTGGACTGCGAACTATAAAGTTGGTAGTTCAAACCCACTTGTTGCTTCTTGGAAACCCTATTCAGGGTCACTGTGAGTTGGAACTAACTTGACGGCACCTAACAACATTTATTGATAAGGGTCTATCTTCAAACTCAGTTCTGACACATAGTTCAGGTGTTGGGGAGGGCAATGCACAAGAAGGGTGGGGATGAAAGAACAAGGTAGATAGGGGAACACTGAAAAAAACAAAACAAAACCCCAAAACAACTCAGTTCTGATTTGTAGCCCAAATTTCCCCCCATCTTTATATATCTTCTTTACTTTTTATGATGTGAGTTTAAAATGTGGTATAATTGATTTAAATGCTTGAATTTTGCTGCAGATGGAACTTGACAGTAACAGAAAGACTATTTGGATGGAAAAAAAAAAATTTTTTCCCCTCCCCTAGAAGGAAAAGATGGTGGAGCCACAGGAAAATGGCTTTCTTGAGCTACCGGATTATGAACATGTGGAAGATGAAACTTTCCCTCCTTTCCCACCTCCAGGCTCTCCAGAGAGAGAAAATGGCGAAGAAGCTGACCCTGATGAAGGTCTGTACAAGGAGTTTCAGACAGTGTCCATGTTCAGTTGTCTACCTATCAGATTAGAAATGGTGTGTTTTATGAACGAGACTTAAAATCTTTAATAGGAAATTTTGGTTTGTTTCACCAGAGGCAGAGAGAGGAGCACCTGTCCCTGTGCCTCCAAAGAGAACCGTTAAAAGGAATATCCCCAAGCTGGATGCTCAGAGGTACTACTAGTTCCTTATACTTTATATACTGTTGCTTTATGGGATGATTTGCAGATTAGATATGTCTTAAAGACATTTTTTTTTTTAAAGTTCAGAAAATAATTCTTTCTTCTTAGGATCTTGGTTTATACTTAATGGCTCCAGAAAACTTGAAATTTAAAATCTATTTCTATTCACAGATTAATTTCAGAGAGAGGGCTTCCAACCTTAAGGCATGTGTTTGATAAAACAAAATTCAAAGGTAAAGGTCATGAGGTAAGAAATGTCTTTTTATTCAAGATTTTTTCATTTTTTAAAGATCAAACTATGGACTCCAGTATTTTGCGCTTAAGAATCTCTTGACTGATATTGTCATTTATCCTACCTTTTAGAAACAACAATGTAGTTGTTTGTTTTTACAGTAATGTAGTAGGAAGGGCACTGTCACATGACTAAAAGCATATCTTCTAGTTTCTTTTTACCACTATATAAACTGTAATTCTAGGAAATGTAGTTACGTCTCTACACCTGAGTTTGTGCTTTATAATTTAGAGAAATGAACTGTGCCTGTTTCAAAGAGTTATTTTAAGCTTCAGCGGGGCAGGGACTATGCCTGTATTGGCCACTTATGTGTACCCAAGATCTGGTGCAGTGCCTGATTCATAACGTTTTTGTTAGGTGTTAGAGATTGGTTCTAACTCATAGTGGCCCTATATAGGACTCCTGGTATGGCACTTTAGGATCAAAACTGGGCTGTGAATCACAAGGTCAGCAGTTCAAACCCACCAGCTGCTCCTTGGAAACCCTATACTGGGTCACTGTGAGTCGGAACCAATTCGGTGGCATTTAACAACAACAACATAGGGCTACTGAGGCTGTAAATCTTTGCAGGAGCAGAACTGCTCATCTATGGAGCAGTTGGTGGGTTTGAATTGATGACCTTTGTGGTTAGTACTCTAGTGCTTATCCTATAGTTTCACACTGTGACTCATCAGTGAAGTTTTATTGAAAATGAAGATATTTAAGAACTGTCAACTCCTATACAAATGTACATTTCAAAATTCTTTTATCTTTGAATAATGTAGATGTATAGATACAGTTTCTTGGCAGATAATCTTTTTATGTTGTTGTTGTTGTTAAGTGCCGTGGAGTCGGTTCCAACTCATAGTGACCCTACACAGGGTTTCCAAGGCTGTAAATCTTTATGGGAGCAGACCGCCTCATCTTTCTCCCGCGGAACCTCTGGTAGTTTCGAACTGCTGACCTTGCGGCTCATAGCCCGATTCGTAACCACTACACTACCAGAGCTCCTATATATATAGAGCTTTGCAATTTATAGAGTGTTTTAGTAATTAATTCTCTATTAATTCTCAACCTGTGGAGTTTGAGGCATTGGTTTTATCATCTAGTTAAGGAAACTATGAGTTTTCAGTGCTAAAACTTTCTGTTTTATAGTTAGGTAGAACATTGTTAGTCCAACGGTGCCATTTAAATGGAGTATTGTAGTATGCTGGATAATTTGGAAGGAAGAGGCTAGAGGCAGGCAACTATTGGGTGGGGGGACTGTACTGATACTAGGATAAGGTGATATAGTTTGGATGAGGTAGTAGTAGACAGGTGTAAAACATACAGGACTTGACATGATAAAACAAGAGTCAGAACTAATCCCAAGATACCAAACCCGAGAGACTGAAAATCCTGGTGCATTTGCTCAGCTTAATTGGATAGAAAGAGAATATAAACCTAAGTATTTTTTGCCACAAAAGTAAACTTAAATCTGGATATTTCAAAATCCATAACCAGATTGTTGCTGTCAAGTGCTGTAGAGTTGGTTTCAACTCAGTGACCCTGTATTGGGTTTCCAGGGAGTGGCTGGTGGGATTGAACTGCCAATCTTGTGGTTAGCAGTCAAGTGCTGATCCTACAGCACCACACCAGGACTCCAAAACCAGATTGTTGTTGTTAAGTGCCATCGAGTCAATTCTGACCCATAGCGACCCTGTATAGGGTTTCCAGGGAGCAGCTGGTGAGCTTGAACTGCCGACCTTGCTGTTTAAACGGCTTTGCAGTCTGGCGCATTAACCCTCAGCGCCATACCAGGATTCCATAACCAGATTAACTAATGCATTATCTTTGGTGAAATTTTCAGGAGACTTGGTGCAGTGCTGTAGGATAAAGCACTAGACCACAAGGTCGGTTTGAACTGTAAGGTCAGCAGTTCAAATTCACCAGGGTCACTACTCACGCATGAGTTGGAACTGACTCAAAGGCACTTAATAGTAATGAACTTGTGATTTGAACTTTTGAAGTCTTAATCATATTCATAATAAATCCTTTATTGAATAAATTAACGTATATGAAGGATATACATTTTGTATAACTGTTAGTTACCTACTCAGCCCTTGTATGGGTCGGCAGTTACTAAATCATTTTGAACTAGTTCAAAGTGCTGCAACCAGCAAAAATACACCAATTCAATTTTCTACATATACAATTCATCGATACTTATCACACTCTTCAAGTTGTGTGACCACTCTGCTTTTCTACAATATTCCAGCACCTTAAACTGTCTTCTAAGCTTCTCATTTACCTTTCCAGTTGCTGTTGTCAGTTTGGTCACATACACATTCTAATTCTTTAGAAGAACACAATGCTCAAGGCAAGCAATTTTTACTAATTAGGCTAAACTATTGTCTGTGTTTACAGATAACTTCAGGGGATAGTTTTACATTAAGGTTTAAAGATTACCTCAGAGCAATAATTTCCAGGTCATCCATCCTCAGTGGCAGAGTCTGTTCTCTTAACCCCTTCCATTAAAAAATACTGTAAAGAATGAAAAACCACACAAGAAAACATACTTATTTGGAGTCCTGGTGTGGCGGTGAGCTAATGTGCTGGACAGCATTTGTTGTTAGGTGCCATCGAGTCGGTACCAACTCATAGTGACCCTATGCACAACAGAACGAAACACTGCCCGATCCTGGGCCAAAGTTGGTTTGAATAGCCGCTCCTTGGAAACCCTATACAGCGTTGCTGTGTGTCAGAACCAACTCTATGGCACTTAACAACAACATTTTGTTTATCAAGTTTAAGCTTTGATTTTCATCTTAATGCTGATTGGAATTTCAAATACAGGGAGATGATATGGTGTGCAAATGGTTAAACTGTTCTTTGCTGATTCTTGATACTTTGTCCTTGAGATTTTTGAGTGTTGAATTCTCAATACTTTATTTATATATGCTTTAGGGACCTGTCACTATGTTTAATTATTCCTAAAAAGTTTTTACATTTTATTAAAGCTTATTTTTAAACTTTTTAGTTCTTTAGAGACACGTGTGATTATCTTTTAACCTTTGATTAAGTTTTCACACAGCTTTTGTCTCCAATTAAAATATATCCAGTGTTGTTTACACTCTAGTTCTTTAAGCTCTTACAAATATATTTTCTCTTAAAGCTCCTGAAAGTTTTTCAACACTTTTCAATTCTAAAATCACTTATGGGGTCTAATTAGCATTTTTATTTTTTATGTACCAGGCTGAAGACTTAAAGAAGCTAATCAGACAGATGGAACACTGGGCACATAGGCTATTCCCTAAACTGCAGTTTGAGGATTTTGTTGACAGAGTTGAATACCTAGGAAATAAAAAGGAAGTTCAGGTAAGTGTTGAGATTATTCTGAGTATCATTCACAATGCCAAATAGCACAAGCATAGAGTTAACATAAGTACAGTAAAGAAATTTCTGATTATATTTTGGTGAGGTTAGAACAGCAGTAGGAATACTCTGTAGGATCAGCACTGGACTATGAGCCACATGGTTGGCAGTTCAAACACACTAGCTGGTCCTTGAAAACCCTATACGGGGTCAGAACTAACTCGAATGCACTTAACAGCAATAATAGGATTACTCAGTGGATATTCTTATAAAAGCTTTTCTGTCTTTTATTTTTTTTCTAATCCTTCTAAATAGCTGTTTGGGGTTTTCATTTTGAAATCTGCTTTGTAGGTGGCGGTGGTGAGTCAGTTGTGACTCTGCTACGCTATATAGGGTTTTCAAGGCTGTAAATCTTTATGGGAGCAGAAAGACTCATCTTTCTCCCTCAGAGCAGCTGGCAGATTCAAATTGCTAACCTTTCAGTTAGCAACTTAACTTGTAATTCAGTAAGTTATTTGAAAAATAAGTATTTTGAAATTGAGAAATGATTAAATGACCATTTCCTTCCACCTTTAATATTATTGGTGAAAATGTAAAAATATCTTTTTAATATTTTCAGACCTGTTTAAAACGAATTCGTCTTGACCTCCCTATTTTACATGAAGATTTTATTAACAATAATGGTAAGATTATAAGTTTATCTAATTTATAATAATTTTGCTTCTTAGAAATTGATCTAATTTGGGTAAGCAGTATTACAGGTTCTAGGTACGTAATTAAAATACAGTAAATTATAATCTAGGTATGGGTTAAAATGCCTTGGTATATCTGAAATTTTGTTTCTTAATGACCTGGTTGCAATGCCTTTAGAAATGTTAAAAAAATATTTTTTACCTTAGACCAGGACCTTTTGAGGACTCTGATGGTGATCTGTTGATCCTTTATAAAAAACGTTGCTAAGTGCTGTTGAGTCAGTTCCAACTCATTGGGACCATGAGGTTTCTCAGGCAGTAAATCTTTGCGAGAGCAGAAAGCCTCATCTTTCTTCCATGGAGCAGCTGGTGAGCTCAAACTGACAACTGAGTGGTTTGCATTCCAGTGTTTATCCTATAGAGCCTCTGTGCTTCTTGTATAAAAAAATACCTCTGGGAACTTAGAATAATTTGATGATGAAATCGTTTGCATTTCACTCAGTGCAGCTCCTAGACATAGGATTCTGGTGAGACCTAAGTGACTGTTCCTGGTATTGATTGCATTGTTAGTTGTACAATGCAACCATAGACAGTCACACACATCAAAACAGATGGTTCCTGCCGACAGGGTCTGTAGAGTGATCAGATTTCCTGTGCGATGGCTCCATACATGTTTGTGCTATTTTCAAACTCATAATAAATGTAGTAGAAGATAATTAAGATTCTACATATAGACTCTTCTATAGTTATTTATAACTTGCATTTAAAAGTGTGTGAAGAAATATGATTTAAAAAGCCTAGTGAATCTACATTTTTTGGTAAGCTAAGGTATATGTTGGGATTAGTACAAACAGAATGCTCCTTAGAAGCCAGGATAGGGAGACTTCATCTCTCATACTGTGGACATGTATCAGAAGGGATCAGTCCCCAGAGAAGGACATTGTGTTGGTAAAGTGGAGGGTCAGTGAAAAAGAGGAAGACCCCAACAAGATGCAGCAACTATGGGACCAAGTATAATAACAGTTGTGAGGCTGGCGCAGGACTGGGCAGTATTTTGTTCTGTTGTGCATAGGGTTGCTATGAGTCAGAACCCATGTGATGACACCTAATGTGGTGCCATAGAATAAGCACTTGACCTCAAAGTCTGTTTGAACCGCAAGGTCGGCACTGTAAACTCACCAGCTGCTTCTTGGAAACCCAGGACAGGGTCGCTATAAGTTGGAACTAACTCGATGGCACTTAACAGCAGCAACAATAACATATGATGGCATGGGCTTTGGTATATGAAAAGAAATAATACCCACTCCTCATTTACCAATATGGTTACGTTCTAAAGACCAGGCTGCTATGTGAAAATCGGTGTTATGTAAAAATGGAGGATGACCAAATCAGATTACAGAATAGAGGATGACTCATTACTGCCAATTTATATCATTATATAACTGCCCGACCACTGAGAATCATGGCCCATGTTGTTAAACTGCCAAGTAGTGGGATCATAGATTGATTGTTATGTATAAATTCCCACAGCACATACGCCACTGGGTTAGATTATTCGGCACCACTTTTTGAACTGCCCACTCTGTACTAAAGGTTTAGGGATAAAAGTGAATAAAATCAGGTCTCTTACTTCATAAGAGTCCTGGTGTGGTGCTGTAAGATCAACACTAGATTGCTGTCCTCAAGGTTAGCAGTTTAAACCCACCAGCTCCTCCTCAGAAAACCTATGCATTCAGGGTTGCTGTGAGTCAGAACCAAATCACCGGCACTTTACAACTCATTTTGTATGGAACATTATCCACTTCCCTGTTTCTGACACATCACTGCATGGCTAACTTTGATATCCTCATTAAACTGCTCATATTTCTATTCAATGTAGTTTCCCTCCACCCAAAATTTCACGCCCTTCCATTCTTGATTTTTTTTTTCTTCCATAGTACTCTTTCCCCTTTAATTTCTATATAATTTACTGTCTGTACCACAATGATGACATCCTTCAGATTCTTTGCCATAACAACTTGCCTATGAATGTTGCAGTCAATGAATTTTATATATGATGCTTCCTTTTTTTTTTTTTATCCCATTTTTATCCTAATCAAAGAGGCAAGCTGCTGTCCATCAATATTTTCCATATTAAAGAGGTCATTTTTGGTCTTTGTGTCTTTAGTTATTATTGATTCAGAATCTTATAAGCCCTGTTGTTGTTAAGTGCTGTCAAGTGGGTTCTGACTCATAGCGACCCTGTATAGGGTTTCCTAGGAACGGCTGGTGAGTTTGAACCATTGACCTTGTGGTTGAGTGCTTATCTTACAGCTCCACACCAGGACTCCTGTAAGGTGAAGTATATTAGAAACACCATATATTGCCTCTTAACTTCTATAGCAATGTTGTCTAAATGTACTCAATATTTCCTGGCAAAAAAATATGGTTTAATTTCTTGTCATATTTTTTCCTACATCAGGAAGGAAAAGTGTTTGTGGTGTTTTTGTCTTTCAGTATTAAGGAGGAAACTTCATTGTAAAGGGTTGTGTTCGTGTTTTAAATAGGTTGCTAATTGTGATAGCTTTAAAAAAAATTTTTTGCCTATCATTAGCTAATATATCAATGCATAAAATAAAATATACAAAGGACAGGGATGGTATATGTAAATTTGTACATATTTTGAGTGATTTATAATTTTTGGGCTACTTGTCAGATCTGATGAAGTTATTTTTTAACCCCAGAATGTGGCTGATGTTGAAAGTGAAATGCCAGCTCTGCCATTTTCTTAATCTTTGCTTTTTTTCACTTGTCTTCTGTGTGCAGGTGTTAACATTATTTTGCAAAAATCTTTTTATGTGACCACTTGTACATTTTGTTTTAAACTCAAGAAACATAGTATTTGCCAGTCACCTTAATTTTTAGGATATGCTGAAATGACAAACTGCCTGTCCCAGCCTTCAGTATGGAGCTGCCAGTGTTCATACGGAATAGCTCAAAGACAAAACAGTAACTACCATGCGCACAAATGACTGTCCACCAGTGTCAATGCTCATTTTAAATATATTGTTGTTATTAAGTGCTGTTGAGTTAGTTTTGACTTGTGGCGATCCTGTATAGGGTTTCTGAGGAGCAGCTGATGTGTTTGAGCCGCTGATGTGTTTGAGCCGCTGACCTTGCAGTATTTTTCCTTAATTCTTAAATAAAATATAAAAGGAATGTCTAATATTTATTTTTGGAACCACTGTGGATCATTGTGGGGGCATCCTACCTGAGGTAACTGGTGTACACAGATTTAGAGTTTGTTAAGACTAATAATGAGCTCTGGTAGCATAGTGGTTACGAATCGGGCTGCGAACCTTAAGGTCAGCGGTTCGAAACTACCAGCCACTCCGCAGGAGAAAGATGAGGCTTTCTACTCCCGTAAAGATTTACACTCTAGGAAACCCTGTACAAGGTCGCTATGGGTTGGAACCGACTCGACAGCACTTAACAACAACAACAAGACTAATATAGAGAGCACTCAGTTTTTAAAAATTAACTTTGAAATATGTCCAGAGATCTGTTTTGTGCCTGTCTTTACTGTATAAAATAAAATAATTATTGTGTACCACATAGGCACTATGGCAAGCTATTAAAATATGTTGGTTTAATATAGAACAAAAAGCTATGGTTAGATTTGTCAGACTCTTATTAGCCCAAGTATAAAATATTTTTATTATAACTAAGAATTTCCCCTTTCATGCATATTTCTAAATTAACATTTCCATGGAATTGAAAATACTTTCATGTGATTCATAAATAATCCTCCATATTTTAATCAACCATATATTAGCAATATATTCATAACCTCAAAAAATTATTTCTGGTCTGGCATCTTACTACATTAAGATGATTTTTATTTAATAACTCCATATGGTCTTGAACTAGTTTAATACTACAGATTACATATTAACTAACTTTTTCTTCTTTACTACAGAAGAAGTAGGAGAAAATAATGGCCATGATATAACTGCTACTGAATTTGATCCCTTTTTGACAAACTCATCTGACAGTGAGAGGTGTCCTTCTGAACCAAGTACAAGCTTAACAGAAGAGCAACAGCAAAGAATTGAGAGAAATAAACAACTGGCCTTGGAAAGAAGACAGGCAAAGCTACTGAGTAACAGTCAGAACCCAGGAAATGGTAAATTTTATGCTAGGTTTTATGTGCTACTATTTGTATACCAGGGGCATGTTGGATCAACATTGGACTGCGAACCACAAGGTCCACAGTTCAAACCCCCCAGCTGTTCTTCAGAAACCCTATACAGGGTGGCTATGAGTTGGAACCAACTCGAAGGCGCTTAACAACAAGAGGTATTTTATTTGGGGGAATAGTTGTTGTGCTGTTGAGTTGGTTCCGACTCATAGCAACCCTGTATACTGTATAGGGTTTCCAAGGCTTTTTAAATCTTTGCAGAGCAGAAAGCCTCATCGTTCTCCCATGGAGCAGCTGGTGGAGTCAAATAGCAGACCTCGTGGTTTGCAGTCCAGTGCTTATTGTAAATGCCGCTAGGAATAGAAGAATGTGATAGAGTATTTTAAGTCTGTATATTTGAGAGAGAGAGAGAGATGTGTGTGTGTTTATGTTTAACTATTTGGAATCTACAAAGAAGTAAGTTGAAGTTATTTTTTAGATAGCTGAGTGCCTCTTAAAAGTTACCATTTAAAATTGATTCTAAATCCTTCAAAAATATATTCTTTGATTCCTTAAATGACATAATTTCCTTGTTTAGGATCATAATTATGAACCCTAATGTGTTTCTTTGGTAGCAATGTTTTTGATTTGTTTTGTTATTTAACTTTTTATTATGAATTGAGTGAAGGTTTACAGAGCAGATCATCAGTTTGACACTCGACAAATCAGTTCACTGATTGCAACCCTTCTATGTAACTTCATTACCCACTTCTTCCCTATGATTCTTTTTCCATGCTACCTTCTTTCCCAGTCCTTCTGATTTCACCTTTAGGTAAATGCTGCCCTTTCGATCTGTGGTGTTTTTTTGAGGTGTGATGTGCATACCTCAACTAGTGTTGTTGTCACCCCTGTATACCTACCTACTGCTTCACTGAAAATTGCCACGAGGGTGAGTTCAGCTCCAGACTTGAAGGGTGACTGAGGGCCAGTCTCAGGTTCCTCTAGTCTCTATGACCAGTAAGCCTGATCTTTTTTATAATTTTGAGTTTCATTCCATATTTTCTTCCACTCTCTTCAGGGCTTTCTAAGGTGATGCCTTTCAGAGCAGTGGTAGCTGGGCACCATCTGTGTCTGGTCTTAGAGTCTTGGTGACTGTTGTTCACCTGCTCCGTTGGACCAGTTGATTCCACCCGTCTTCAGCTTTCCTCTCTTCTTTTTTTTCACACAGGAAGAGACTAATAGTTGCACCTTAGATACCTGCTCATGAGCTTTTAAAATGCCAGTCACTGCTCATAAAAGTAGGATGTAGACTCTATGGACTATGTTACGCCATTTGACCAGAGTGTCCCCTGAGACTATGGTCCTGAGCCCCCCAGACCCAGCAACTCATTCCCTCAAGAGGTTTGGTAATGAAATGGTTAAAAGTTTTCAGAATTTGGATCACTATATGCTCAATCATAGGAGTGCAGTGGGTCTTTAGAATAAACACTGGACTGTGAACTATAAGGTCAGCAGTTCAAGCCCATCAGCCACCCTTGAAGAGAGAAAGGTAAGGCTTTCTGCTCCTGCAAAAATTTATTTCCTCGGAAACCCTATATAGGGTTAGAAACAACTTGACGGCACTTAACAACAATGCTCTAGCACATTCTTGGATAAGTGTCATCGAGTCGGTTCTAACTCATAGGAGGAGTTTCTGAGGAGTGGCTGGTAGGTTTGAAGTGCTGACCTTTTTGTTAGCAGTTCAGTGCTTATCCTATACTGCCCTACTAGGTAAATACCTATGTGTAAACATGCTTTGTCAAACCTTTGTACTTGTGGGTGTACTCCTAGTCTCCCTGCCATACCAGATGAACATTAATTATTGGTACTGTCCTAGACATAGAATGCCTTTTCCATCCTCTGAGGATTTTAGAGGCGTTTTCTGTAATGAAACTATGTCCTCAAATGCTCCTTAATTCAGTTATGTCAATTTTGTTGTGAACTGTCACTTTTGATGGTTATTAGTTGTCAGTAGCATCTCCTCTCTTGAAATTACCCTAAATTTATTTCTAAAAATAGACTGTGAGTTTGAAAACTAGGTAACTTACTGTAATTATATATTTTTTTAATTACGAATTTATTTTGAATTAAGTGAGCAAAATAGCATGTTGTTATTGCTGTTGTTAAGAGTCGGTTCCGACTCATAGTGACCCTATATATATGGTTTCCAGGAACAGCTGGTGGGTTTGAACTGCTGACCTTGCAGCTCTAACTGAGCTTGCAGTCCATTGTATTATCCTGCAGTGCCACACCAGGACTCCAAGATAAGCATGTAAAATCCCTCATTTCCAGACAAATGTTTTCTTTTAAAATGGGAAAATAAGAGTTATATGACAATAAGTCAAAACATACTGCTATTAGGGTTCTAGTTAATGCATGTATGGATTTTTTCCAAACAAAGTGTGATTTTTACATGTCTGGAATCAGTAGATGGCTACAGGCAAATTCTTGTCTTGGTCTCTGTAGGGTGTGTAATAAAGGGATTAATTAAAATAATGGCTTCTAAGAGGGTCTGCTGGGCCAGCTCAGTTTAAATCAGAGAGGTCAGATTAGAAGGTTGTGACTAATTTGAGATGGTTACAAAGAAACATCTGAATAGATTTTCTCAAAGGATATAGTACAACCAAAGGGGCTTATTCAGGAAGAAGTTGGAAGAAAATTGAAAACTGCACTGCTGAAAAAGGCCAGCGAAGTTGAACCAAGGGATTTTTTCCCGTCACAATACACCTGCTCATTCTCTAGGGGTTGGAAACGTTGTGTTGGGAAACTACCCCATCCATCTATACCCCTGATCTTGCCCCTTCAGGCTTTGTTATGTTTGACTATGTGTTAGGAAGTCAAATTTAGTATCTTTCCAAGACCCTTTTTAATTTTCAAATGCACTTTTACATTAAAAGAGTTTATTTAGAAGAAAATGCATATAAATATCATTAAATGATCATAGATTTCATTTTTATTGACTTTCACTTATGAATGTATATATTTATCAGATAAGATGAGATCAGGTTCTTCTAATGGATGATGGTGGCCTCTCTTTCAGACTCTTTAATGGACACACCCAGGGTACAGACACTTGAAGAAGTTAATACAAGTGAAGATCTCAAAGAAGAGCCAAATAGACTAAATGAAGATGTTCTAGAAAATCCACATAACGATGTTGCCAATACTGTAAATGTAGAAGAGGAATTAAAATTACAGAAAGCACAATTGGACCAGTCCTTTTAAGATGTGCAATAGTAAGTGTATGCTGCTCCCAGAAATGTTAACTGAAGTTGGATAGACCTCGCTAAGAGAAGGTCTTTTAACTGTCTATCCTCCAGGTTTAGGGTTATCGTGTACAATATTTTATGTTGAGTGGACATCCTTACTGAGTAAATTTTTGTCGATTCTTGTTTAAAACCTGATATTTATTTTGGTATTTATTTATAATTATGCATGTCATTTTCTTATTAGCTTTAACTAGAGATCTTTTTACTCTCCTTAGTGTTTTAATTTTTAAATAGATTAATGACTTCATAAAATGCTGTTAATAAACCATTCCAGCTGTTAGTATGTCATTGGATGTATTGTTTTAAATAAATTGAGTGATGTTTAAAGATGTAAATTGATACTGAATACTAATGGCCATTTATAAATAGTAAAAGTTATTTTACAAATTGTCTTTACTGGCTGTTTGACAGTTTCTCATCACTATTTAGATCTGCAGTTTACACTTTTGGTAAATGTTTATGGTTTCCATGTGTTTATATGTATGTATTTTGAAGCATCACTTTAATATTTAGGAGGTTGCAGAGTCCTGGTGTGGCGCTATGGGCTAATGCGCTGGACTGCAAAATCATTTGAATCACAAGATTGTTGGTTCAAGCTTACCAGCTGCTCCTTGAAAAACCTATACAGGGTCGCTGTGGGTTGGCACTGACTCGATGGCACTTAACAACATAGGCAACATATTGCCTGGCCTGTATAGGTGCTACATACAGAATTTCAAAACGTAGGGCACTGCTCTCTGACTAGTTGTAAAGAAATTTGCCAACCACTGTGGGAAATAGAAAGGGGTTGAGGGAAATTCATAGGAGAGACCTTTGAGTTAGCAGAGAAAATAAGTTTTGTGAAGAACAAGTATAATAGTGACAAAGGAAGTTTAAGAAATAAGGAAGACTTAGGAATGGTGGTGTTGAAACTGGAGGTATTTGGGTTGGATAGTGAGGTCCCGACTTGAGTCTTTCCCCTGCTGGACCGTAATCACTTGGTGGTGTACTGTCAAGTTAGTTTTGACTCATAGTGACGCTGCTTAGGGTTTCCAGGGCTGCAAATCTTTACAGGAGTGGAAAGCCTCATCTTTCCCCATTGGAGCGATTGGTAGATTCAACTGCTGACTTTGTGGTTAGCAGCCCAATCATAACCTAAAACACTACCAGGGTTCCTTAATCACTTGGTGGAGGGAGAAATTACAGAGGAGAAAGCACCTTGGCAACAACCAAGTTTGATTAAAGTCTGATTCTTGGCAAGAGATTCCCAGTTAGATTGAAGAGGGGAAGGTTAAACTAATTTATAAAACCTATGCTGGGAAAAAAAAAAAAAAACTTATGCTGGGAAGAAAGTTGGGTACCTTTTGTGAGAGACTAGTGTTGTGAGGAAACTAGTGTCTCCAAGGAGGTAGGCTGGATTGATGGTACTGTAGTGGCTGCATCCACAAAACACAGAGAAGCAGAAATCTCGTTCTCTTCAGACTTGCTGACTTCAGGTGGGGATGGGCAGTGAATACAAAGATTGAAAATCTAGTAAGTTGAGCACAAGGAACTGGGGGTAGGCTCACGGGCTTGCTTGGAGACGGCTCTAGTGATTGGTACCACCAGTGTCTACAGCAACATCTTGGAATTCAGTTTCTCCTCAGTAGGGTCTGTTGAGGTTTCTGTCCACCCTCAAGAACTGGGTTAGAGGGGATGACGTAAGAAGAATGTTATCTATCCCAGTTGTAGAGTTACTAACAGTTTTCAACAAGAGGACGGCTGATGTACCTTGGGTCTTAGCCTCATCATCTGAGCACTCAAGAATATGGAGAATGGAAAGGGAAGTTGGAGAGAAACCTGTGTATCCCCACCCCACTCCCTGTGCCCTATCCCCAGCTAGTGCTGGGGGTGGACTTTGAGTCAGTAGCTAGGTGGACAGGACTACAGTTCCAGTTTGTGAAAGCTGAAAAGTCAGTCTAATAGATGGCAAAGAAACCTGTGACCCAAATGGCCCAGTGTAGCAATTACTGGAAACCAAAATTTTGAAAGAACTGATTTGGGATATAGACAACCAATGATAAATTCTGGGCTTATTAAAAAGTGAGCAATGTGGCTGTCTGAGCCACCATTACTATGACTACATAGTATACCATATACTATTAATACTCAATAGTTTCCATAGTGACTTCATTACATTTTATTCAAAGCAACTTTAATTTTGAGAATATTTTACACATGTCCTACCAAACAAGAACATCGCATGACACAGAATTTGATGTTAATGTTGGAGACGGTAAAACAGCCACAGAAGATAAAGCTCATTCAATGAAGTAAGAGATTATTTCACATTCCACAATGGTTTGAAACATCTAGGAGAGCTAGGTCCCTTATTTCCTCTAAAAGCTTATACAGGCTTCTTCCTTTTGTTTGGCAATATTCTTGATACTCTTCCTGAAGTGTATCTGCTCTGACTTCTTGTGCAAGCTGAGCTTCTTCCACAGATCTAGTTACTTCTTTCACTAACTCACTCTTCAGCAAGAGGGCACTCTGATGACATAGTTCTGTGTCAGGTATCATGTATGGTTGGTTGCGTATTATTTCAAGCCTGATTGTATCAGAATGGTAACGTGAGGCCTGTACTGATATTTTCACCTATCATAGAAGAGAAAACGCTTATTACTAAATCATGCACTTTGTTCTTTACATTGAAAACAATACTTGATATAAATACAGACTTACTGTTACATGGTCAAACAAATGGAACGTAACAGAGTCCCCTCCAGTTGTGGTAGAGGTAATTTTGTTTTGAAATCGTTGAAGGGATCCTGGTTTCCATTCAGAACGGCTATCTGGACCACATGAGATCACTAAGCCATCTTTATTTTTTAGGTAAGCAGCACCTTTAATCCCAAACCTGAATCATTGACAGAATATAAAAATCCAGAGATATGTAGGCTTAGTGTACAGATCTTATACACTTAAGTAGAATGTTAGTTTTTCTTATAAAAGCAAATCCCTTTTCCTGTGACTTACCTCCAAATACTCATTATTGTAACTTTACAACGTAAGCAATGAAAAGTTGTGAAAGGTTTATTTCATCTCAAACTCTGCTGAAATAATCCCAGCGCATAGGACAGAACAAGGAGCTCTGGTAGTGTAGTGGTTATGAATCAGGCTGCTAATCACACGGTCAGCAGTTCAAAACTACCAGCTGTTCCGTGGGAAAAAGATGAGGCTTTCTGCTCCCGTAAAGATATATAGCCTCGGAAACTTTGTACAGGGTCACTATGAGTTGGAACTGACTCTATGGCACATAACAACAACTCATTATCATATGAGCAGATAAAAATACTTTTTTTCTCCATTATACACAATGCACATTAAAAAAAAAAAATACAATTTTTGCTACTGAGAAAGTAAAATCCTCTCCTTAGTCTGATGACTACTACAGATGAACTAGATTCCTTCCAATTTCCTACCTTATACTTACATACCAAATTATACATTACACTTTATTCAAGGAGCTCTGGTAGCGTAGTGGTTACGAATCGGGCTGTGAACCTCAAGGTCGGCAGTTCGAAACTACCAGCGGTTCTGCGGGAGAAAGATGAGGCAGTCTGCTCCTGTAAAGATTTACAGCCTCGGAAACCCTGTGTAGGGTTGCTATGAGTCGGAACTGACTCCACAGCACATAACAACAACAACATACTTACATACCAAATTATACATTACACTTTATACATGTCAGAACTTTAAAGTTGTGAAAATAAATACTTAGCAAATCATATCTAATGTACGGGGTTCTAGACTTGAAGTTTAACTATGATTCCTTCTTAACCGTTGCTAGATAAAACATACCTTGGTATAAATACAAGCACGCCATTTGTTCTAATTGAGTAAATAACACCATCAGATAAGCAACGCTCTTCAGTTTCAGGGTCTCTGTCATTAAAATACATGCACTGGAAAAGCTCCATAGACTGCTTCTGAGAATGCTGTGCTGCCTGTAAGAGGAAGCAGACCAGGACATGAGGGCAGACTGCCTGATACTCCCAGGATGAACATGGAATCTCTCTTCTCACAGAAATACTGCCTCTAAAAGGTTAGCTTCTCTAAAACCCTTAATACAAAACTTATTTTATATTGTGAATTCTATCAATTTTGTGGGAAATTAACTATAGTATTATTCCTTCAAAAATGTCTTAGAAAATTAATTCTTTTAAGAAACCCTGCTATTTAGAGCATGTTTAATCATTAACATCAGATTGTTAACTGCCATTGAATTGATTCGGATTGATAGTAACCCCACATATTACAAAGCAGAACTGTTCCCTAGGGCTTTTGGTTTTGTTAGTAATCTTAATGAGAGCAGATCACCAGGATTTTTCTTCCACAGTGCTGCTGAGTGGGTTCGAACCCACATATTGAGCGTGTGTTTGAGAGGTTGGCAAATTTGGAACGTCAAGTTTCAGGTAAATTACTATCACAACTGTGTGTTACCTTTATATTTAAGTTTGCTCTACCAAAATCCAGTCAGTATTAGGCAAATTGGCACTGCTGTGGCTGGAGAGCAATTTAGTAATACAAAGGGGCTTCAAAAAGTTCATAGAAAAATGGAATTGTGTATACACTTTTAGATTTAGCAATTCTATTTTTAGGAATGTACGCAGGCAAAAGTAAATACATACATGGTTGTAAACCAGGTTAACTAGAACAGCACTGCCGAACAGAACTTTCTGCAGTGATGGAAATGTTGTAGAAGAGGTAGCCTCGAGCCACATGTGACATTGAGAAAGTAAAATTGAAATTTTATTTGATTTTAGTTCATTTAAGTAGGCAACATGGTTAGTGGTACAGCACAGAACTAAAACACTGGATGATACAGAAAACCAAACAATTAAATGCTTCATACATATTCAGAATAGATTACAATGTAGCTATCAATAATAGAAGTGGTTGTTGTTGTTATGTGCCGTAGAGTTGGTGCAGACTCAT